TATGAATCAGTCCCAGGCCATGGAAGAGCTCAAAAAGGATTTTGAGAAGCAAGTAAGAGAAGTAGAGGGAAGAGAAATAAGAGTGATACAAGAAAATCATGAAAAAATAGTCAAGAGCTTGCTAAAGGAGACTCAAAAAAATCCTGAAGAAAATAAGAACTTAAAAAATAGCCCAACCCAAATGGCAAAAGAAGTCCAAAAACATAATGAGGAGAAGAATGCCTTAAAAAGCAGAATTGGCCAAATGGAAAAGAAAATCCAAAAGCTCACTGAAGAAAATACTTCCTTAAAAACTAGAATGGAGCAATTGGAAGCTAGTGACGTTATGAGAAATCAAGACATTGTGAAACAAAATCAAAAGAATGAAAAAATAGAAGACAATGTGAAATATCTCACTGGAAAAACAACTGACCTGGACAAGAGATCCAGGAGAGAGAATTTAAAAATTATTGGAATATCTGAAAGTCATGATCAAAAAAGAGCCTAGACATCATCTTTCAAGAAATTATCAAGGAAAACTGCCCTGATATTTTAGAACCAGAGGGTAAAATAGAAATGGAAAGAATCCACTGATCACCTCCTGGAAGAGATCCCCAAAGGAAAACTCCTAGGAATATTATAGCCAAATTCCAGAGTTCCCAGGTCAAGGAGAAAATATTGCGAGCAGCCAGAAAGAACCAATTCAAGTATTGTGGAAACACAATCAGAATAACACAGGATTTAGCAGCTTCTACATTAAGGGACTGCAGGGCTTGGCATATGATATTCCGGAGGGCAAAAGAGATAGGATTACAGTCAAGAATCACCTACCCAGAAAAAGTGAGTATAATCCTTCAAGGAGAAAAATGGATATTCGGTGAAATAGAGGACTTTGACGCATTCTTGATGAAAAGACCAGAGCTGAATAGAAAATTTGACTTCCAGATACAAGACTCAAGAGAAGCATGAAGAGGAAAACAGGAAAGAGAAATCATAAGAGACTTATTAAGGTTGAACTGTTTACATTCTTACATGGAAAGATGATATTTGTAACTCATGAGACCTTTGTCAGCATTAGGGTAGTTGGAGGGGAAAAATTTATATGTATAGAAAGATTGATAGATAGAGGGCACAGGGTGAGTTGAAGATGAATGGGTGATATCTGGAGAATAAAATTAAGGGGATTATACTGGGAGAAGGAGAAAGGGAAAGGTAGAATAGGGTAAATTATCTCACATAAAACAGACAAGAAAAGACTTTTACAGTGGAGGAGAAGTGGGGGAAGGTGAGAGGGAATGAGTGAATCTTATTCTCATTGGATTTGGCTTAAGGAGGGAATAACATACACATTCAATTGGGTACGGAAAGCTATCTTACCCTACAGGAAAATAGGAGGGAAGGGGATAAGAGTGCAGGAGGATGATAGAGGGGAAAGCAGATTGGGAGAGGAGGTAATCAGAAGCAAACACCTTTGAGGAGGAACAGGGTCAAAATAGAATAAACAGGGGGCGGGATAGGATGAAGGGAAATATAGTTAGTTTTCCACAGCATGACTACTATGAAAATGTTTTGCTCGACTACACATGTATAACCTTTATCAAGTTTTTGCCTTATCAATGACGGTGGGTAGGGAGGGAGGAAGGGAGAAAATTTGTAACCCGAAGTTTTAAAAACAAATGTTAAAAAATTGTTTTTACATGCAACTGGGAAATAAGATGTACAGGCAATGGGGTATAGAAATCTATCCTGCCCTGCAGGAAAATAGAAGGAGAAGGGGATAAGGGGGGGGAAGAGATAGAATGGAGGGCAGATTAGGGGAAAAGGTATTCAGAATGCATGCTGTCTTGGGGTTGGGGGAGGGACAAGATGGGGAGAAAATTTGGAACTCAAAATCTTGTGGAAGTGAATGTTGAAAACTAAAAATAAATAAATTGATGAATCTTTTTTAAAAAAAGATAAAAGAAAAAGGGAAAGAACCCATATGTACAAAAATATTTATAGCCGCTCTTTTTGTGGTGGAAACTGATGGATTGCCCCTCATTTGGGGAATAACTGAAAAAATTATGGTCTATGAATGTGATGGAATACTATTGTGGTGAAAGAAATGATGAAGGGGATGGTTTCAGAAAAACCTAGGAAGGCTTATATGAACTGATAGAAAGTGAGTGAGCAGAACCAGGAAAACAATCTACACAGTAACAATAATATTGTAAAAATAATGAATTGTGAAAGACTTTGTTACTCTGATCAATGCAATGATCCACCACAGCTCCAAAGGACTCAGGATGTAAAATACTATCCACTTTCACACAGAACTGATGGACTCGGACTATAGATTGAAGCATTTTTTTCCTTTCTTTATTTTTCTTACTTTATTTTTCAGAATCTGGCAAATGCAGAAATACGGTTTGCCTGATTTCATACATATAATGGGTATCATATTTCTTGCCTTACCAGTGGGTGGGGGAGAAAGAGAATTTGGAACTAAAAATAAAAAGATTTTTTTAAAATTACATGTAATAGGCATGACACTACAAAGAGCATCAGCTGAGAGGATACCACAGGGACAGCATGCCTAACTACATATAAGACATATAACACATGAATATCCCGAAAGTACATGGATATTCACAGTACAGAGCAATTAATCAAAAGCAACAAGCTTAGCCAAATAACAAAGCAAAACTAGCCAGTTGCAACAATAATGCTATTAATAAGCCTATATATAAAATATGACTTAAGCATAAGCAATAGCGTATATGCAAAACAATTAACAGACATTGCTCTAGCATAAACACAACACACACACAAAAAAGTCATATAGCAGCAAAACAAACAAAAAAAAGACTGTGACCATATTCAATATTCATATTGACTTGAGATGGGCAATCTCAAGTATCATCAGTGAGATATATGTGTAACTACATCTTCAGGTTTACTTGTAACACCATCACTTAGCCTAATCACTGGTCTGATAGGTCTAGTTTCCCTGTCACTGACAGATCTCTCTGTTCCTATACCAGAGCTAGTAGTTGGTATGGTCTGACCGTCAGGATCATTATAGACTTGTGTGTCTACACCTGGGCTGGCAGCCATGCCAGGCTGACTATGAGCATGTTAGATCCTTGGGGGTTGAATTTATCCCCTAAGAGTCCCTGTAGCAGTTCTGAGCAAGACAGGAGTTGCCTCTGGTTTCAGTTCTTCTGCTCTGTAATAATAGACACAGTCTCCTTCACTAGCTGCACCACTTTCAGTGTCCATATCTGGGTCAGGAAGTCTTTGTACAGCTGGTGGACAGCCTCTTTTCTTCAGCCGTTGCCTAGGTGAATGTCCGGTAGTTCTCTCCACCTGCTCATTAGAAACTCCAATTAACTCGCCTATGGGCAATAGATGGTTGTAGTGAATAGTCTTGATGAGGCCCCCTCTATTCTCTGAGGCTATTTTGTGAACTGGAAAGTTGCCAAGTCTCTCAAACTGGTAAAAAAAAAATCCAGCTCAACAGATAAAAGAGCCTTTTTTCCAGTGTTTTCCTCAAACGTAGGAATCTGGTAATATCCACTATGCAAGTCCAAGACTGAAAACCACTGGCTGCCTAGCAGACAATCCAGGGCTTCTCGCACCCATGGCATAATGTACTGGTCCACTTTAGTCTTTTTGTTCAAAGTTCAGTAATCAACACACATCTGCTTATCTCCATAATTTTCTTAGGCACTACCACAATGGGTGATTCATGGGCTGCTGGATTCTGTGATGATGTCATTAACCATAATTTCTTGGTTTCTGATATTCTCTATTATAGAAAGAGGAATCCTCCTAGAGCAGGGGTGGGAAACCTATGGCCTCGAGGCCACAAGTTTCCCACCCCTGGCCTAGAGCTTTCTCTGAATGGTCTGAAATCAGTGAGCTGGATTCTGTGGGGTGCACCTTGAGCACAATCCACATCCCACTCATGCAATGAAAATATGCCCATTGGGGCAGCTAGTTGGTGCAGTAGATAGAGCACCAGCCCTGGAGTCAGGAGGACCTGAGTTCAAATTCAGCCTCAGACACATAACACTCATTAGCTGTGTGACTCTGGGCAAGTCCCCAAACCCCCATTGCTTCACCAAGAAAAAAAAAGAAAATATGCCTGTCCTCTTGCCTAATTCCAGCTTTAGTTTATGCTTCTTCTCTTATGGTACTGGGGAGTCCTCAAAGTCAAATACATCAGCATATAGTGCAGAGGGCAAATACTTGGGGCTCCTGTGATGTTCCCTGGAACCCAAGCCTCTGCACAGTCTGTATAGATGATAAAAGTGTGCAGGCATTGGGTCGTTGCTTGTAGAGTTTGCAAGAGTTGTGAAAAGACTAGAATTTGTTCCAATCAGTGCTAACACTCCAGTGAGTGGTAGAGGTTCTGGACATAGCAGAGTCAGAGTGTCCAACTCTCTTTTGACATTAACAACTTCCTTGGGAAAATTTCAAGCTCATCTGGATGTATCCCAGGTCTGGACAATCTTTATTACTCAAACCAACAAGTCCATACCCTGTTATAGACTTTAAAGATATTTTACCCAAATATCTGTCATAAAAAGATTTCCCCAAAATGATGGTAATTTGAGATCTACTGTCCATGACAGCATTTTAGTGCACATTCTCAATTTTTACCATCACCTCTGCATGAGATCCCATGAAATTAAGTGGAAAAGACCCATAAGGAATTGATGATGACGTCAATGTGACTGGCTTTGGGGCCCAGGATGACTCCCTTCCCTGGCCCCACCTTGGTTTCCCAAAGCTAGATCAGAAGATTTTAACTACTTCATGACCAACACTACGTTCCCTTTGCCAGTACACCCAACGTAAGTATGACCATCTAATCCATAATTATAATAAAAGGTAGATAGGGTGTTCCCCTGATGATTATCTGATGGAGGTATTCTTATATTGGGCCTTCCCCTTGGTCCCCTCCCTGTCCACACAGGGTAGGATTGTGCCCTGCTCCAACCCTCACCTGATTGTCCCGGTTTCTGTGCTTGCAGCTCAGCACTGTTGCCTTGCTTTCCTCCTGTGGCCCACACTGGAGAAGACCTAGAGGCTGCTGAGGCCGAGCCCTGTGAATTATATTGCCCCTTGAACCTCACCTCAGACACTGTTGGCAGTGGTTTCTGTGTCTGCATAGAGCTGTTGACGTGAGCTACACAAAGATCATGTGCCCAGGTCGGGCTCAGTCTCTACGATGTAATATTTCCTACAGTCTCAGGCCCCTCAGCACCTAGCTATCTCTATCAGTCTCTGCACAGGCTATTCCACCCTGAGGAGGAGGAACTCAGTAGGCTTGTTCTCCTTTGCACTGCCCAGAAGTGAAGACAAAATTAGCATAAAGGTCTTCTGATCCCCCCTCAAATACCTCAGTTGAATTCCGTACACATTCATGCAAGGTACCATCTTACCTTGCCTCTATGAGGGTATCTCCTGCCTTTGTAGCTATTCCCCCTTAGGCTATCTGTCAGTCTTATCACTTTGTCTGGCCTTTCAGCATCCCTGGCACACTCTTGCCAGTACAACCCAAGACTATTCTCCTAGGGGACATGGTTCATATCCAGAGAAAAATGGCTATTTGGGGTCTTTAGTATCTATATATGACAGGGAGTATGGTCTCAGCCTTATTCATAGATAAAATGGAGTACCTGGATTTAATTTAGACAATATCTCTGTAGAAATGCCTCCTTTGATTAGAAAGTAATTCTGGAAGTAATTCCACATCCTCAGTAATTCCACATTCAGTGGACAAGTCTGAAATTCCCAAGAATAACTCCCTACTACCAATTCCTCTAGTATATTTCCATAGTCAAAATTCTCAGGTATGACTAATTCCTGAGTTTGATTCACCTGCCTTAACATAAGTGGTCTTAATTGTACACTCTTCCAAACCATTCACTTTTCTGCCCAATATCTTTTAAATGTTCTCATTCTCAAGGTCTGAGTCTATTCTTAATATAAGATCTCAATGTTTTTCAGCTGCAAAAGCAAGACAGTACCTCTCGATTGCCTTAGCCCCCATCTTTTCTAGAGATTTCTCCATGTGTTTCCATATTAGTATGCAAATATTAATGCAATTTAGAAAGGTATGGTATTACAGCAACAATAGTCTATCAGATTAATATACTGTGCTTCAGCAACACAACAGTACAGCAAAAGGCATGAATTCAAATCATAAAAACAGTACCAGTGACTTTTTCATATATCTGCATATAATAATCGATTATATATACAATAGCATTCAGATGTTTAAAGAAATACACCATATCAATAAAGTCAGCAATGACAATTAGAAATGACTTCCTATGAATAAAAAATAAATGGAAAAAATTGCAAACAAAAAGCGTTTTCCAAAATGGGAAGGCAAGGGAGGGGGAACCGGTGGAAACCAGCTCAGAAAACCACCAGGTGCCTTGGCATTCTACAGCAAAGGAGTCTCCCAGAGCCTCAGCAGAACTAAGGGAGGCAGTACTGCAAGGGGCCCCAGGCAGATAAACACCCTGCAGCACCCATCTAAAAGAAGCTGAAGAAAGCTAAAGGAAAGGAAAAGCATGCAACCTAGATTTGCCTGAAAGTCCCAGCCTTGCTGATTGCAGCCCAACACCAGGTAAGCTGCCAGAACCCTACAGCCTCCAATTGCCAATATAAGAGACCCCAGCACACAAAGCCAGTGACCAAGACCTAGGTTCCCAACACAAGAAACTTGGGTCAGTGCCCTCTGCTCCCCAGCAGGAGAGCTCAATCTCTTTAAAGGCCAAGGAATAAAGAAACACGATGAATAAAAAGAAACATTCATAGATTCATATTATGAGAAGAGTGAAGATCAAGACAGAAATTCTGAAGAGGACGACACTGTCAACAAACCCACATCTGCAACATCAAAAGTGAATATGAATTGGTCTGAAGCCCAAAAAGCCTTCTTAGAAGAGCTCAAGAAGGATTTTAAAAGTCAAATGAGAGAGGTAGAGGAGTCCTTAAAAAATATAATTGACCAATTGGAAAAAAAAGTACACTTAAGAAAACAAATCCCTTAAAAATAAAATTGGCCAATTGGAGAAGAAAGTACAAAATCTAACAGAAGAAAACAATATGTTAAAAACTAGAATTGGACAAATGGAAACTAATGACTCTATGAGAGAGCAAGAATTAGTCAAACAGAAACAAAAAAATGAAAAAATAGATGAAAACGTAAAATACCTCATGGGTAAAACAACTGACCTGGAAAATTGATCCACGAGAGACAATTTAAAAATTATTGGCCTACCTGAAAATCATGATGAAAAAAAGAGCCTGGAGAGTATCTTTCAGGAAATCATAAAGGAAAACTGCGAAGTCAGAAGGTAAAATAACTATAGAAAGAATCCACCGCTCCCCGTCTGAAAGAGATCCCAAATTGAAAACGCCAAGGAATATAATAGCTAAATTCCAAAATTACCAGATTAAAGAGAAATTACTGCAAGCAGCCAGAAAGAAACAATTTAAATATCATGGAACCACAGTTAGGATTACACAGGACCTTGCAGCTTCTACATTAAAAGACCGTAGGGTGTGGAAAATGATATTCCGTAAGGCAAAGGAGCTTGGATTGCAGCCAAGGATCAACTACCCAGCTAAAATGAGCATGATTTTTCAGGGGAGAGATGGATATTCAACGAAATAGGGGACTTCCAAACCTTCCTGATAAAAAGACCAGAGTTCAACAAAAACTTTAATCTTCAAGTACAAGATTCAAGAGAGACATAAAAAGGTAAATGGGACAGAAAGATACAATATGTTGTTAATGAAGGCAAACTGTTTACATCCCTACAAGGGAAGATGACACTTGCAACTCTTTAGAACTGTATTGTTATTACAACATGTTAAAGGAGTATACATAAAGGGGGTGGATATAAGTTGACTTTGATTTAATGATAAAAAAAATCTGATCAAGTGGGTTAAATGTATCCAAGTAAGTGGATTAATTTGATCTAAAAAAATGTACTGAGAAAGGAGGAGGCAGACAAGGGTAAATTACATTACAGGAAAAGACACAAAAACTTATTAGAGCAGAAGTAAAGAAGGGAGGGGGATGAGCATTGTTTGAACCTTACTCTCATCAGATTTGGCTTAAGAAGGGAATAACATAATCAGTTAGGTATAGAAATCTAACTTGCCCTGTAGGCAGTAAGAAGGAAAAGGGGAAAGAAAAGGGAGGGGGGATAGAAGGGAGGGAAGAAGCAGTAAGGGTAAAGGGGAAGAAAAGGTAAAGGGATAATAGAAAGGAGGTGGGACTGAAGGAGGTGGTGGTCAAAAGCAAAACACTAGTGGGGCGGGAGGAGAAAGGAGAAAGAAAAGCATAAACGGGGGAGGGGGGGAAGGATGGAGAGAAAGACACAGATAGTAATCATAACTGTGAATGTGAATGGGATGAACTCTCCCATAAAACGGAAGCGTATAGCAGAGTGGATTAAAAACCATAATCCTACAATATGTTGTTTACAGGAAACACATTTGAAAAAGAGTGACACATATAGGGTAAAGGTAAAAGGCTGGAGCAAAATATATTATGCTTCAGCTGAAGTAAAAAAACAGGGGTAGCAATCCTGATCTCAGACAAAGCAAAAGCAAAAATAGATCTTATCAAAAGAGATAAGAAAGGAAACTACATCCTGCTAAAAGGCACCATAGACAATGAAGTAATATCATTACTAAACATATATGCCCCAAATGGTATAGCATCCAAATTCTTAGAGGAGGAGTTCAGGGAGTTATAGGAAGAAATAGACAGCAAAACTATACTAGTGGGGGACCTCAACCTCCCACTCTCTGAACTAGATAAATCTAACCACAAAATAAACAAGAAAGAAGTTAGTGAGGTGAACAGAACATTAGAAAAGTTAGGTATGATAGACCTCTGGAGAAAACTGAATGGGGATAGAAAGGAATATACTTTTTTCTTGGCAGTACATGGCACATACACAAAAATTGACCATGTACTGGGGCATAAAAACCACACAATCCAATGCAGAAAGGCAGAAATATTAAATGCATCCTTTTCAGATCATAATGCAATAAAAATTATATGTAATAAAGGGCCATGGAAAGATAGACTAAAAAATAATTGGAAACTAAATAATCTAATCCTAAAAATGATTGGGTCAAACAACAAATCATAAAAACAATCAATAATTTCATTCAAGAGAATGACAATAATGAGACAACATACCAAAACTTATGGGATGCAGCAAAAGCAGTTCTTAGGGGAAGTTTTATATCTCTAAATGCTTACATAAATAAAATAGAAAAAGGGGAGATCAATGAATTGGGCATACAACTAAAAAAAAACTACAAGAAGAAAAAATTAAAAATCCTCAATTAAACCCCAAATTAGAAATATTGAAAACCAAAGGAAAAATTAATAAAATTGAAATTAAGAAAACTATTGAACTAATAAATAAAACTAAGAGCTGGCTTTATGAAAAAAACAATAAAATAGATAAACCTTTGGTTAATTTAATTAAAAAAAAGAAAGAAGAAAACCAAATTACTAGTATCAAGAATGAAAAGGGTGAAACTACCACCAAGGAAGAGGAAATTAAAACAATAATTAGGAATTATTTTGCACAACTATATGCCAACAAATTTGACAATTTTAGTGAAATGGATACATATTTACAAAAATATAAATTGCCCAGATTAACAGAAGAGGAAGTAAAATACTTAAATAACCCCATCTCAGAAAAAGATATTGAACAAGCCATTGATGAACTCCCTAGGAAAAAATCTCCAGGGCCAGATGGATTTACATGCAAATTCTATCAAACATTTAAAGAACAATTAATTCCAATACTATATAGACTATTAGGGAAAATAGGTGAAGGAGTCTTACCAAATTCTTTTTATGATACAAATATGGTGCTGATACCTAAACCAGGAAGAGTCAAAACAGAGAAAGAAAATTATAGACCAATTTCTCTAACGAATATAGATGCAAAAATTTTAAACAAAATATTATAAAATAGATTACAGCAACTTATCACAAGAATAATAGACTATGACCAGGTAGGATTTATACCAGGAATGCAGGGCTGGTTCAATATTAAGAAAACTATCAGCATAAGTCATCATATCAATACCAAAACTAACAGAAACCACATGATCATCTCAATAGATGC